AAGTTAAAGCCGATGCTTTTGGATCGGATAAAAGAGCTGCAAGGAAAAGAAGAAAAGTGTTTGGCAAGAATTGCACAAGTATAAAAATGCGAGACTAAAGACTTTGAAGTCAGGATTGATGGATGTTTATATTATTGTGGAAGACCTTGAATTTTTTCTTAAGGGGGAAATTTGTAATACCCAAAATTTGTTATACACGAAAAATACTTTCATTTGTTACCTTTATTGCTTGCTAATTTGGTTTGTGTTTAAAGATCCTAAATTCTAGGGTTTGTGTTCACATTAGGGTTTATGGAATTGATAAAGGATTTTGATGTTTTTGATGTTGTAGAATCATATACAAGCATGATTGATGATTAAAATCAACTGTACACTGCTATATAAGCTCATGTTGAATTCAGCTAAACCCTAAATTTCGGGGAAAGAAGTGTTTTAATGAAATTTGATTAGGGCTTTGATTTTAGAGGTCTTGAAATGTCAAATTGAGGTTGATTCATGTTCGAATCTAGTGAAAATCTTGAAATTCTAAACTACATACCATTCAACCTTGAGGAAATAAGTTGGGAAAATTGTAGAAAATTCCCATGACATAGAAATGTTATTTTGAAGGTTCTACAAGCCTTAGAATTTTTTTGGTAAATGTGTAATTTTTCAAAAGTTGAGGGGTTTATTCAGTAATTTTGAAATTTTATGGGTTGAATGTGTAATTATTCAATAAATGATGTACATTGTTGGAAATTACTGCTTGAGGGCTAAAATTAAAGTTAGAATGTAAATTTATCTATTTTGGAAAGTTGAAAAAGTTTAAGTACAAAATGGAAAATATTGGAAAAGTTAGTAACTTGAGTGGTAAATATGGTATTGTTGAGGTATTGGTATGGAAATTAAATGCTGGAAATTTATTGGGTTTATTTGGGCTTGAATTGAAGAATTTATGACTATGGTCCATTATGAATAAAAAGGAAAAGTTAAGAAGAATTTTAAAAGAATTTTAAAAGAATTTGAAAATAATAGTACTTTTGAGTATTATTATTTTGTAAAAATGTTAGTAAGGATACTAACATTGTATTTTATATTTGTATATGTAATTATGGATGCTTGCGTAGATCGTGATCAAATTCGTGATACAAGCAAATCAAAAGGCAAGGAAAAAGTTCAAAAATAGTGGGACTTTGTCACTAAGACATACCAGATAAGTGCATTTATTATACTTATATGATATGAGGATGACTTGCGATGAGTCATACTCGAATTTTTCTCTAAAAGCATGTTTTACCGTATTTTGAAATATTTTCATAAGGTTTATGAAAATTATTTATGGGATTTTAGGGTATGAACTATCCTAAAATATATGGATAAACTTTTATATTATTTTAACAATTATCGATGTTTCAGAATAAATGTTTAATCTACGAATTTGATTTAAAGGCCTATTGTATGTGCATTGAGAGTCATAGGTGCATTTTGACAAACTTGGAGTATGATGGTTATTGATCGATTTTGTTTAATGCATATGTTACATTTTTGTATAAGTACCTTTGTGTACTTCGACACTATGTGTGCAGCATGGTATTCATAATGAGTTTGTGTTTTACCATTTTGATATATTAGTATAGTGTCGTTGTTACTACAATGCATATACTTTCGTTTAGAACTTATGTGCAAATCATGTACCTTGTATTATCATATATCATACATTGGCCTAAAAATGGATATTTTGGATTTACTGCATGTTAAGTATGTTGGGCATACGAGATAACATTTTGCATGTCAATTGAAGGAAACTTGTCTTACTAAGTCAATTTTATGTGTTATTATATTTTATACGATTAAATTTGTATTTTGATCTTTTTTGAAATACTTATGTTTTATTACGCCTCATTTATTTTATTATGCCTCACTAAGTGAATACTTAGCGTGTGATGATTTTCATGCGTAGGTTTAGTGTACGAATCGGAGTGAGAAGTGCAATTGATATCATCTGTCAAGGGTTGTGTCATCAGTAATAGTATGACATCTCTATATGTTTATTTTGATATTACTAGTTGGCATGTACTTAGATATGTTGTGTTACACTGATAAGATACTTGGTATTTGGTTGTAGTATTATATTACGTTTGAACTTAAACTACTGTTTGATGGATTTTAAATGTTATTTTGTATATATGTATTTGAAGAACATTTTATAAACTATATTATTATTAAAATGTTTACTTATAGGAACAAAATTTTAATGGTTTTCAAATACAAAAAATGTTTTAAAAGTCATGGGACATCTATGACTCGTGTACGGGACGTATATGGGTAATGGGTGTTACAATTTCTCATTAAATGAATTTTAAATTAATTTAAATTAGTTTTTAAGCCAAGTGTGTTAGATATTATTAGATAAATTTTAAGAAATTTTCAGCATTTTTTCTTTCTTGGCCGAAACCACCATAGCCACCAAGGTAAAATTTTTAGTTTGATTTTTAAAGCTTTATGGTTGATTTTTGGATTAAGTTATTAGATAGAGAATTAATCTACATGAAATTCTCTATCATTTGGTATAAATATTACATGGTGAACATGCTTATTTTGATGAGATTGGAAATTAGGGTTTATGAAGGATTTGTAGATTTTGAATATTTAATGGAAGATTGTTATGTTATTGTTGTTGAAGATTATTTCTAAAGCACGTGTGATGATTAAAATTAGGTGTAGATGCTTAAATAGTGTTTGGCGATATTGAGGTTAGATGGATTTTGATTCAAATTGATGTTGTGATGATTGAAATAACATGAATTTGATGTAAGGAAGTTGAATTAATGGTTGAAATTGGATGAAATGTTTACCTTAAGTGCTTTGATAAGTTTGGCCATATGGAAGGAAATTAGGGGGAAATGTTGAAAAAATTCATATATTCTAGAATTGATATTAAATGTGTTCTATGTGATTTGGAGATTGATTTGGATCAAAGTGGAACCTTGAGATAGTGAAAGGATTATTTTCCAAGTTTTGAGAATTATGAGACATTAATGTATAAACGTGTTAATTAGGGTGTTCAATGTTGCATTTTAATTATGAAATGCTGAAATTTCAAGTTAGATTAAGAATAAAGGACCAAGGTACAAATTTGGATGAACTTGGTGGTGGAATTCAAATAGTCTCAAAAGTTAGGACTTAATTGTGAGTTCTTCAAAGTGATGATATTATTTTTTAAGAAAATTACAATGCTAGAAATTTTATTAGCATGGTGATTTTTGAGTTTAAATATTAGTTTGGGGATCAATTTGCAAGTTTGTTAAAGTGAAAGGTTAAATTCGAAAAGTTTAAGAAAATTTAGGATGAGATTGAAAGTTTTGAATGTTAAAGTATTGAATTGATATGTTATTAAGGTGCTGGAAATTTTGGTAATTAATGTGGAATGATCATAATGGTAAAGGACCATTATGAATTAAATGTAAAGGTTGATGTGAATTCTAACAAGAATTCATAATTAGTGGCTTGATTGTGAAGTTGATAAAAGTCGAAGGGTTGATGATGGAAATAAATATTTATGAAATCGAATGAGTATTTTGGGAAGTTTGAAATTATCATGGAAATATGATTAGTTTTATATCAATTAAGTATCAATTTTATTTCTATATATTTTTATATTATTAAGTTTATATTGTGTTAGTACGATACTAACATATAGTTTGAATATTTTATGTTATTATATGCGTTGTCATACCACGATAAAATCTAGCAATCCAAACAATCTGAAAGGAAAAGAGAAAGCACACGAGAAAAGAAGTATCATATAAAAGTTCGAAAGTGAGACAAATGTGAGTGTAGTCTTATGTATGATTAGAGGGATCATAAAAGAGCTTTTTACATGCTGAAAACATCAGAAGATGCAAGCTACCATTGACATGCTTCATAACTATTGCAACCTACCAAAACACACATAATGATATATATGTGGTAGATTTTAATTAGAAGTGTGTAACCTTGGATTCTAAGCTTCTAGAAACACCTCAAGGTCACCCTAGCACAAGCTTCTCATTGTTCTTGCTCTTGGACTTTCTTAAACTTCTCTCACTAGGCAAGCATCAAAAAATGTGTTACTAACTTGTTTATGAACTTAAGAAGTGACTAAGAACAACCTCTGAGACTTAAATCCCTAGAAAACGGGATAGATTACTTGGCTTTTGATAAGCCCTCGTTAAACCGACATGTTGAATACCCTGGCCAAATCTTCCAAGAGAGGGTTTGATTGAAAGCTTGGAAGGAGATTATTGAGGTTCTTACCTTTATGTTGTTGGGAAATACTGGAAATGTAATAAAGCTCTGACCTTTACTTAGAATGCTATGAAGAAGATGAAAGCTTTGGGAGAATAAGAAGAAGACAAAGTTTGTGAGGAAAAAGAGATAAAAGAATGATGGAGACGTGATATTATCCATTTTTAATGGAATTCAACATTTGAAATAAAAAATGGATTTATTATATCCTGGACTCTCTAGCTTTGATCACTTTATAAAATGTCCCTTTTTGTTTATTATTGGGCGTAACTAAGCCTGAAACTTCTAACCCGAGATTTGGAGCATTACAAATCTCCCTTTCTAGAAAGAAATATTGTCCTCAAAATTTACCTAGATAGAAAAGGTGAGGATACTGAAGTTGTATGTCCTCCTTAGTTTCATAAGTTGCTTCCTCAACACCATGGTTCCTCCATAGCACCTTTACTAAAGGAATCCTTTTATTCATTAACTCATTCACATCCCTTGCTAGTATTCTAACTGGTTTCTATGCATAGGTCATGTTTGGGCTAACTTCAATCTGCTCTATGGGTATGAAATGGGAAGGATCAGAACAATATCTCCTGAGCATTGATACATGGAACACATTGTGAATGCGTTCGAACTTTGGGGGTAAGGCTAAGCGGTACGCTACTAGTTCAACTCTTTCTAGCACCTCGTAAGGCCCTATAATGCATGAAGTCAACTTTCCTTTGTGACCAAAGTGAAGTACTTTCTTACAAGGGGAAAACCTTGAGTAACACTTTATCCTCCACTACGAACTCAACATCTTTATGCTTCAAGTCTGTATAAGATCTCTGCCTGTCTAAGGCTTCTCTCAACCTACACTGGATTAACCGGTCCTTCTCCTCAATCTCTCTAATTATGTCAAGAATCATTATCTCACCATTACTAAACTTTGTCCAACATAGCAAATTCCTGCATTTTTTCCCATATAAGGACTCTTAGTTAGCCATCTTAATACTAGACTGAAAACTGTTATCGTAGGCAAACTCCAATAAAGACAAGTGGTCCTCCAACTACCCTCAAGATCTATAATGGTGAAACTGAGCACGTTTCTGTAGGATCTGAATGATACGTTCTTATTGACTGTATGTCTGAGGATGGAAAGATATGCTGAAATGTAGATTGGTGTCTAAGGATTCATAAAAGGCTTTCCAAATGTAGAAAGTGAATCAAGGATCTCTGTATGATATGATAGAATTCGATACCCCGTGAAACCTCACTATTTCAAGGATGTATAATTGAGCTACCCTCTCTAAGGTATAGTTTATCCGAACTGGAAAGAAATGGGCTGATTTGGTCAAATGGTCTACTATGACCCAAACTGCATCATGTCTCTGTATGGTCATTAGTAACCCGATCACAAAGTCCATGGTTACCTCGTCCCATTTCTACTAAAGTATCTGAATAGATTGGAGTAACCCTGAGGGAACCTGGTGTTTTGCCTTAACCTGCTGACTACTTGACATCTAGCGACAAACTCTGACACTTCCCTTTTCATGCCCAGTCGCCAATACAACTGACGAAACTCCTGGTACATCTTGTTAATGCCTGGGTGAATTGAGAGTGGACTGCAATGCGCCTCATGGAAAATTCTACTGCACAACTAAGCATATATGGGTATAAACAAATGACCCCTGAAATACAACACATATTCATCATCTAACTCAAAACCTAGGGCCTCACTCTAGTGAACCTGCTCAATCCGAGTCCTTAATTGATTATCTAAACTCTGCAATCACTTGGTCTCACCTACCAACTCCATTTTGACTCTCAACTTGGCTAACAACCTACTGATACATGCACCAGAGTCCATAATACAAGCTTCTTTGGACTAATGTTTCTACTCGAACCTATTAGAAGAACAAAGTCTCGAAGATTCAAAGCATATCTATTTGGTAAGTATAATGTGAATGAATCATTAAATGATTCTAATGTTTCTCCCTTTAATGTTTCAGATTCGAGGTCGAATCTTTTTGAGGAAAGGGCAGATGATACATGCATCACAAGGATCACATCAAAGGAAGAAGTAATAACTCTTCCAAATGATCCACTCGTCCAAGCATTGGAAAAGAAGATCAGAATAGAAGCAGACTTACGACGACTTTTTTAATGGGATCCTGATCTTATTTGGTTAATATGTCCTCTAGATATACGACCGTATGTCTCTTATCTTTCCAACGGTTCTTGAATCACATCAATCCGATATCAGGAACTCAAGATATGGCCATTTTACTGAAGACGATGCATGCAGGAAATCCTATACGGGATTAATACGTGATTTTGTAAATATTACGAATTTTCAATATTTATATTGATTATTTGTAATATAATTTAATATAGGATGATCAATTATCTTTTAGGATCAGATTTATTATTTTATTAGATATTAAGGTTGGGTTAAAACAATATTTTTAGTTATTATTATTTTATTAGGAATTAGAGTTAAAACATGTTTAGTTTATTATTATTTTATTCTCTAGTTATTTAGAACCTTTAGGATTCAGCCCCTAGATAAAGGAGGCTTCATTCAACTTTGTAAATGAAGATTTCTTTGATTAATAATACAACGAGAGTTCGTTTTTACAAGTGATGATTGCCTTGTGCCTTCGAAGCTTCTTCTCCTTGAGTTCTTTCAAGTTCTTGTGAGGGAAATTAATCTTCACACTCCAATTTGCCTTTTCATCGCGACTAGGAGGGATGGTTTGAGCCATATTATCGTGTTTGCCTTTTCATTGCGACTAGGAGGGCTCGATAGGACACTTATCCATCTATTTTCGACAAATCCATCATCACCATCATCACCTTTACCGTTCACCTTCATAAGGGAGATCTTTTGATCTCTTGGTTATCTTATTTTATTTTCAATTTCTTTATCTTTTGTTTATCTTGTTCTAATATTGTTTCTTACCTTGTTTTTAGCACCTCAAAGAAACCCTAAAAGAACCCTAGCTATTACCGCCACCTTCTCTATTCATTCCTCATTGTTCTTTATCGAGTCTAGAGCTTTCTAGGTTTGATTCTTCAACAAGAGCAACGTTCATTAACCCGCCACCGCTTCCCTATCACCTACCTTCAGTGGTTAAACTTAAACATGCTCGGAGGACTCACAACTATGTCATCGACTTTCTGCTCAAGGTGTCTGCTACTACACTTGTTTTACTCGGATTGTAAACTATCAAACAGTTGTAATCCTTAAGCAACTCAACCAACCTACGTTATCTGAAGTTTAATTCCTTCAGAGTGAGTAGATACTTGAGACTCTTGTGATCAGTAAAGATGTGACACTTCTAACCATAGTGATAGTGTCACCAAATCTTCAAGGAAAATACCAGTACTGCTGACGTTTGAGATGATGATATATGTAAGCTGCAACTTTACCCTCTTGGATCACCATGCATCTAAGACCATTTAACAAGGCATCACTAAAAACTGTAGTCTTTACCCGAATTTGGTTGGGTCAACAATGGGGTCTGAGTCAATATAACTTTCAACTGTTCAAAGCTTCTCTGCTACTTCTCATCCTAAGTAAAAAAACCTCTATTCTTAAGTAGTTTGGTTAGCGGGGCAGCTATCATCGAGAAAACATGAAGGAATCCAATTTTATACTTTGACTATTAAACTTTCAAAACATATATTTTGGCCACTAACCAAAATTTGGGGTATTATAACTCTCCCCTTAAGAAAAAATCATCCTCGAATTTTAGTACGTACCTGATGTGTAGAGGTACATATATTGTATTTTTCATGTCCTCTGCTCTTCCCTGGTTGCTTATTCGACTTTATGATTCCTCTAAAGAACTTTGACTAAAGGGATCGTCTTGCTCTATAGTTATTTGACTTCTCAAGCCAAATCTTAATTGGTTCCTCTTCATAGGTCAAATCAGATCGAAACTCTATTTCCTCTAGGGTGATAATATGCGATGAATTTGATTGATACTTCCTGAGCATCAACACATGAAAAAAATTATGGATCTTATCCATTTAGGTAGGTAATGCTAACTGATAAGCCACTGGTCCGACTCTTTTCATAATCTCATAAGGTCTAATAAATGTCGGACTCATCATTCATTTTTGTCCAAACCGCAATACTTTCTTCCAAGGCGATACTTTAAGAAATACCTTATCACCCACTTGATATTCAATCTCTTTTCTCTTTAGATTTGCATAAGAATTTTATCAACCGAAAGCTATCTTAAGATTATCTTGGATAACTTTCACTTTATTTTCCATTTCTTTCATCAAGTCAGGGCCAACTAGATCTCGAACTTTTAGCTTGAACCAATTTAATGGTGTTCGACACCTCCTCCCATATATGGCTTCATACGGAGCCATCTTGATACTCGATTGATAGTTGTTTTGTAGGCAAATTCTGCTAAAGAAAAATATCTTTCCCATGATCCCTTGAATTCAATCACACGCGCCCTTAGCATATCCTCCAATATCTGAATAGTCTGATTTGACTGACCATCTGTATACGGATGAAAAACCGTGATAACATTCAATCGAGTACCCAAGCCCTCATGCAAGGAATACCATAATTTCAAAGTAAACCTTGGATCGCTATCAGATACTATTGATACATGCACTCCATGCAATTGAACTATCTATTTGTTTTGTACAACTCAACATATTTATACATCGAGTGATATGTTTGAATTGAAATAAAGTGGGTTGTCTTGGTCAATCTGTTAACAATCACCCATATTGAGTCTTTTTTTTGCTGGGTGTCAAAGGTAGCCCTGTATAAATTCATAGTTACTCGTTCCCACTTCTATTCAGAAATGGATATTAGTTGTAGCAATCTGGAAGGCACTTGATGCTCAGCTTTCACTTGTTGACATGACAGGCATTTTGCAACAAACTCTGTGATAGTTCTTTTCAAACCAAGCCATCAAACTGACTCTTTAAATCTTGGTACCTCCTATTTCCACCTGGATGCATAGTCAACGGACTATAATGCCTCAAAAAGAATATCTTTCCTTAGTTCTTCATTATTGGGAATAAAAAGTCTCCCACGATAATACAAACATCCGTTGAACCTGACCTCAAAGTCTTTAATCTCACCATTTTCTACTTGCGCAATTCTTACCAAGCAATTTTCATCTTTCCTTTGTAATTATCTGATCTGATCTAAAAGCATCAGCTTTAACTTTAACTTGACAATCAAGGCGCCATATTCCTTTAAAGACAAACACACATCTAAAGCTCTCAAGGTTGTAAAAGTCTTTCAGTTGAGTGCATCAGCCACAACATTAGCCTTTCTTGGATGATAGTCAATGATCACATCGTAATCCTTTACAAGCTATATCCATCTTCTTTACCTTAGATTCAGTTTATTTTGAGTCAACAAGTACTTTAGGTTTTTGTAATCTGTATAAATATAGCACCGCTCACCATACAAATAATGGCGCCAAATCTTTAAAGCAAATACAACCATTGCCAACTCTAAATCATGCATCGGGTAATTCTTCTCGTGAATCTTTAATTTCCTCAAGGCATAGGCCACAATTTTTCCTTCTTGCATAAGCACACATCCCAAGCCGTTATGAGATGCATCACTAAAAACCACAAAGTCTTTACCCGACTCAGGTTGTACAAGCACTGATGTCTCTATTAAAATCTTTTTTAGTATTTCAAAACTCTCTTGGCATTTCTCCGTCCAAACAAAAACACATATTTCCTTAAAAGCTTTGTTAGCGGTGATGCTATCATCGAAAAGTTCTCACGAACCTTTGATAGTATCTAGCAAGTCCCAAGAAACTCCAAATTTGTGAGACATTCTTTGGAGTTTCTAATCCACTATAGTATCAATTTTCTTGGGGCATTCCTTTATGCCATCTGCATAAACAACATGGAAAAGTAAAGCAACTTCTGTCAACTAGAATTCATATTTTGAGAGCTTGGTATACAACGTTTTCTCTCAAAGAGTCACCAAAATTTGATTCAAATAAAGCTGAAACGCTCGATTAATCAAATCCATAAATGTTGTAAGAGCATTAGTTAAACCGATTGGCATCACCACAACTTGTAGTGTCCATACCACGTTCAAAAAGTTGTCTTAGGAATATCCTCCTCTTTAATCTTCAATTGATGGTATCTAGACCGAAAATAAATCTTAGAGAACACTGCTTTACCTTCCAATTGATTATATAGATCATCAATCCTTAGAAGTGGATACTTATTCTTATCTTCACTTTATTCAACTGTCGATAATCTATGCATAAATGCATATATTCATCTTTCTTTTCACCAACAACAAAGGTACTCCCCAAGGTTAAACACTCGGTCTGATGAAACCTTGATCAAGCAACTCTTGTAACTGAGCCTTTAGTTCTCTTAACTCTGTCAGAGCCATTCGATATGAAACCATAGAAATGGGCTCAATACCTTGATAACCATCAATCTTGAATTCCACCTCTCGATCCGGAGGTAACATAGGTAATTCATCTAAAAAGACATCTGGAAATTTCTAAACTGTGGAAATATCATACAATCTTACTTCAGATGCTTGAGTATCTATCACGTTAGCTAGAAAAG